AAAAAAAAATTAATAATAATAATAATATATATATATATATATATATATCACAAATAATTTTTTTCATGAAATATCTTGTAAATATTGTAATATTTTAATCATAATGAGCAAAAGATGTTTAATGGATACAGAGAAAAAGAGCTAGAGAAACCTGACAGGGACATTACAAAAGAAGCCAAAGTGTCTCTTGTTACTGCCCATTTTCTTAATCGATCACAGTTCTGAATCTTACTATAAATATTATATATTATATACTATAAATATTCATATCAGTCCTGCAAATCAAAAGAGAATGATCAAAATCAACCATCTGTGTTCTCAAATCAGATCAGCTCTCTCACAGAACTCTGATTATTTCAAAGTACATTGAGTTCATCCAGTAACAGGCAAGTTAAGAATGGTGAGGGACAAGTGTTTTATTATTAGAATCTTCTCCAGACTGCTTTTATAAGAGGTAATTAGTTTAGAAATGATTTGTCTGTCTGTGTTTTTGTGTATGTGCACACACTCGTGTACACACATACTCACACGCTGGTGTTGTTCGGCATCTGCTGAGCTTTCCCTGAAACAGTCTAGAGTCACGACTCATGTAGCTGCACGCACACACACACACACAGAAAAAAAACATTTTTGCAGTTTAACATTTATGTTTTTTTTTATGTTTATTAAGCTGTTTTTCTCATAGGGACCATTGGCTCACAATGTACATGATTTCAGATTTTACTGTCCTTTTGGGGACACTTTGGTCGTCATGATGTTAGCAAAAACCGACCCCTCCACACACACACTTCCTTTCATAGTCTTTGTTTATTAATATATTTGTTTATTTATGCAGTCAAGAATAATCACTTACAGACAATAATATGTGTTTGCTGAAGGAAGAGCAATAGGAAAATATCGAAAAGAGACATCACACAATATACAGACATATTTAAATAGCAGCCATTTTGTGGTTTAATATTCACAGACACTTGTCCACATCACAATGTGATTAAGTGCACAGCCCTACCATTTGATTTATTAATCCAAATTTTGCCAAATTCTGTGACTTTCCGTGTTATACAGTAAATTCAATTTTCATGACTGGAATCTGTGAAATCAACAATCCCACAATCATTCTCTCCATTTATGAAAGAGATGGCACTGATTGTGAAAGCGTAGATTTCCCCCCTTTTAAATCTTTCAGCCTCCTTTGATATGTCCAATTAAAATGTAATCGGAGGCAGACATGAGTGAAAACTGATTATAGTTCATTTGCTGATTTTGTCTAAAAACCACCACAATGAAGACAGAACTGTGTCTGTATCTAGAGAATTATGTGATTGTGTGTGCATGTGTATCAGTATACAGTATATATTTAGCGTTAAGGTCAATCTCATATTGGATTTTAAAGTAGGCGGGCACTGTCTCACTGCACCAGTATTTATTATTAATAAAGAGGGGGGGGCGGAGGAAGATGAGAGGTGTATAAGAATATCCTCTCTCGCTCCTTTCTCTGTGCACTCTATTTCAGCATGATAACTGCCCACCTGAGGGAAATGGAGTGCTCTGGTATTGATTTTTTTCATTCATGCTTTCCTGTTTTTTTCTACACTTCAAAACCTCAATGAAACATACAGCCATAAAAAAGCCCCTAAGTGAAATGCCCCTGTCTCATGTCAAGGTGGTTAAAATTAATGCAGAGTACAGAATATGTCATATAAGGTTTGAATATGAAAGAATTAATGGAATTGATTACTTTTTGAGCTTTAGTTCCTCTGGGAATGGAAATGATTCATTCACGCTGAGCCAATATTACTTTTTTTTATTATTGGGCTTATAGTCTAATTTAATTAAATATATTATTTGCTGGATTGGTACTGGAATGATATTACCTGGCATAATCAATGTGTTCTATATATTCCATCATAATTTTAAGAAATTTCTGAGCAGGTTGAATACCTGACGGTTAGAGTGAAGTAACCTTTTTTTTTTTACCTGTCTATTCTCATAACCAATCATCATGTTTATTTCTCGTTCTTCTTTATGTACATGTTTTAGTTCAGTGTGCAGAAATGCACAGAACCCATCCAGCCTCAAGCATCTTTGAAGTTTCCTCAAATCTACCGCCCCAAACCTTCTGTCACTTCTCAAGAGGTAGTAAACTACAATGAACATGGAGCTGCCAATGACACGTCTGCTGCTGAGCTCGACACCTGTAACCAGGCAACCGAACGTGAGGAGGTCTTCTCCCTCCCGCAGCAAGGTAAGGAAATGACAGCTAAAATCTAATGGAATTTAATGGGGGAGGCTGTGTGTGTGCGTGTGTGTTTGCGTGACCGGTTTTCCTGTGCATTCCAGACAGAGGGAGAGACCAGATCATTTCAGCCAGTCTGAATTCAGGAAGTTCTGAGTTGTCTATTTATGGGGCTGAAAAATTCTAATTGTGAACTATTAGTCATCTCACCCCTTAAGGGGTTAGATGCAAACTGGAATTTCAGCCATTAAACACCATTAACATGTTAGACACTAGTGTCATTTGCTGGTGCTGTTCAAATCTGTGCAGATGTGCCACAGAGGCAGTTGTTAACCTCTCACATTAAAGTAGTGAAACCTGCTACTATAATCATGACTGTTGGTTGACATACATTGATCTGACTCACAGTTTCTATCACGTCACGTAAAGGTTACATACAATATAATAATTCATGATCAAGACTTGAAACCTTGAGACCTTTTTTGAAAAATTTAACAGCATGTGTACTGTTTTTCTCAGTTTTGTGCTGCGTTGGCAGACCAACAGCGTGATATCACGTATGATTGCTTGCATAGGAACATTTTAGATGCATTATTGTTGCTTATATTGTCTATTTTTGATGCTGTGTGTCTTCAAATAGCACTCATGAATGAATGAATCCTAAATGAATCAATGTTATTGATTGATTCAGTTATGTCAATGATTCCATGACTCACTTTAAAAAGATAGTTACTTGTCGCCACCTACTGGCTTATCGATGTAAGCTGCAGAAAAAGTCACTAAACAATCCTCACCACTAATGCATACAAACAGTGAAAAGTCCCAGGAGGACCACAACTAACTATAGTCTGTAATGCTTTTCTGGTTTAAGGAATCCAAAGGATTTTAATGAGAAATTGTGCCCCTAAAATAGTCCTTATTTACTCAGAGTTGAAACTTACTTATATTCATTTACTTCATATTAGCTTCCATAGATGAAACGCCCTGTACATCTGAGCAAACCGGTGCCATGACGACAAGTAGCTTCATCCTATATCCCAAACTGCACTTCTCCATCAGCCTGCACAAAGAAAATGGAGAGCTACACATCAGCATTGTAGAAGGTAATAAACATTCATCTACTCTGATGTTTCTAGAAAGATAGTGGGGCACCTGTGAATTGCAGGTGATACTCAGACTACACTGTGTAGCATCCCTTTGGTGATAATTTACCAACAGGTGTTTCAAAGGATACCTACAATAAGTGTCAGCATCCTGGATTCCTGTGGAAATGCTGTCATGTTGTAAGAAGACTAATTTAGCAACACTTCACTCAGACACTGTCTGAAATCGCAAATTCACAGTTTCATCTTTTCAACTTCAGAAAGGTGATTACACACATAAACACAAAAAATACACAAAATTCTGAAGAAACATTTGCCATACACTGTGTTACAAGTCAGAAAGCATTTCCACGGGAATCACTGTACCAACAGGATCATTTTCAAAATAAATAAAAATACACAGTTGTTTTAAAAAATAAAAATCTTTGAGTTAAACGTAGAGCTAAGTTTTAGCTGAAGTACTAAAATCACAAAAACCAAAACTGAAATTAAACAAATTAGTGCTAAATATAAGTATAAAAAAACTTGTGAAAATCACAAAAGCACATAATAAAATTACTAAAACTTAAACTAAAATTAAAACAAAAAATAAAACCTAACCCAAAATAATATTAATACTCAATACTAAAATAACACTCATTTAAGTTATTTACAGATAATTTGCCATCAGATGACAGACACAAGCAATTCTGCACTCATCCCCTAGCGATGCTCTAGGAGCATTTTTCAGTATGTGCAGAGGTCATCAGAAGGTCACACAACATGAGCAGATATCTGTAAAAAAACAGGCTTTGGTGTTGTACTTGTAATCTTTTATGGCTTAGCCAGGTGTGTTGTGTTTGTGGGATAGAGGTGTCACTGTACAGTGGTTTTGCTCTGCTTTCAAGGCTGGAACAGAGGGAGGTTTTGATATTCAAACTCTCTGTGATTAAACCAATGTTTGAGAGAAATAAAAGCCTCTTTCAGGCAGCTTAAAGCCTCTTAATCACAGAATTACCATTTCAATAGTAGCAGCCGTGATTGATACGCATCATTATTGGTAATGAGCGTAAATCTGCTTTGAACTCAAAACCTCTATTCTGCTCATCCAGACAGGAAAAGGGGAGAGGATCAGTCATGCCGGCTGAGATGTAGGAAGGAATGAAAAGTGAGGAGTCATAAAAAAGAGAGCAAGTGACGCTTGGTGCCTCAGTGGCTTGGAGCAGCTTCATGTGGCCCAATTTGTCATCCTGCTCCTTGTTATAATATGACTCATATTCTCTTTTTTCCGCAGCGGAGAATATATCAGTGGAGGCTGGATGTGAGGGATATATATCAGGGTGTGTGAGCGTCTCTGAAGAGCAGAAGCACGCTCACACAGCAGTCCACAAGCTGGCAGCGCATGTGCAGTGGGGAGAGGAGCTGGTGTTCGCTCTTCCCATGGAGGGCACAGAAGACACAGACAGTCTAGATGGAGAGGTGGCCCTCTCACTTCACTGCTGTGATCGATTCTCCCATAATTCCACTCTGGGCACGATGCGCTTTAAGCTGGCTGATATAAGCATGATGTTAGACGCTGATTGCTGGGTTGATTTACAGCCACCCAAACAGGTGAGGAACATTGCATAATACATCCACGACTGCAACATTCAGCACTTTTCATTTCAGCTGAGTGATACAGTTAATACCAACTTTGTCAGCTGGTCATTATCACAAAATAAACTTCATCAGTGTGGTATTTGATGATCCTCATCATTATTCCTTTTGGGGTTTACTGTGTGCTAATACAATTCTAAAATGTAAATAAATACAAATACAGCGAAAAAATATGTTGTTAAATATAATTTATATTCTCAAAACAAACACTTCATGTGGGTTTAAAATCTTAGGATACCTATTTGAGGTATGCCGATTTTGTTACATATGAAATCTCTCAAACTCAATTAAATATGTATTTTAAATAAAAAATTTAACTCTTAATAGTGCACAAATTGTCAGCCTTCAGAATACAAATACGCAAACATTTTATGATTTATTGGTATTTAAAGTATAAACTGCTGCAAAATAGAGAGACAGCACATGCCATCACAAATGAATAATGACACAAATATACACCCACTGATTGCCATTTGACCAATCAGAATAAAGTGTTCCAGTAAGCCATGTAATAAATAGGAATTTAACTTAATGGATAATAAAACCACTTTGGTGTGGACAATGCCTATGAATGTACTAGTAGATGTAGTGAAATATATCAATGGACTGTTCAAGGGAAATTCATACAGTTTGAACTATATATTTATTGGACTTTAAACAGTGTTCAGCCTGACCAAGACCCCATGTGCATGAGTATGACCTTTAAACATGTATTTGTAGGTTAGAGAGGTGGAAAAGTCAGTCAGTGAATCATGCTGCTGTTTTGTGTTGGATTGTTACTGATGCACCCATGCATGCACACATGTTGGTTTTTATGTTTTATGGGGACTCTCCATATAGGCGTAATGGTTTCTATACTGTACAAACTGTGTAATTTGTACATATAGTGCATTTTGTTTTACATTTTATGTATAATGCTTTATAAAGATATACATAATGTGATAATAATTATAATTATAACCAAAGTTAAAATGCATTATAATATTTGAAGGTTTGTTTGTCATGTGTTTAATGCATTTTCCTTTCTAAAGGTGTAGCAGTGCTACAATGTATTGTAACTGTGATTACAATTATCCATGAGATCATACAATGCATTATAAGGTGCATTACAAGGCATTATTCATGCATTGAAACTACTTTTATAATGTATTATATATAAAAGGCTTTAAGTAAAGTGCTACCAAACATTTTTAGTAAATTTTTAACGCTATTTTAATTATGATGACTCCGATGTTTGGTAACAATATTACATAATATAAAAATACAATATAAAAAAGTAACAATATTACAATATTAGTACAGCAGTAGAGGTAATATTCTTCTGACACACTTTATTATGACTTTATTATGGGATGCTGACCGTGTATTTATGTGTTTCGCAGTCTTCACAAGTGCAAAGTGCACATATTGACAGTTTAGAAATAGCTCAGACAATTCTTTTGGACATCCACATATGTGAGGGTCATTACTCATAAGAGGTGGTAGGAGAATGGATCTGAGACTTTATTTTAAGATATTGTACTCCCTCTAAATCTTGTTTGCTTCAAATCAATCTCTTGGGTCCCAAACCATACATGTATACACACACACACACACACACACACACGCATGCACCCACTGCTGTGTGATCTGTTGATGATGTCATAAACCTAGAGCAGAAGATCGTTATCTGCGTCATCACACCTCCCAGAGGAGATCCGGTTCTAACAGACATGCCAGGAATTACTAACTACCACTGGACAGCAGAGAGGGAGAGAAAGAGAGAGAGAGAGAGAGAGAGAGAGAGAGAGAGAGAGAGAGAGAAAGGAATGCCCGGTTATGTTACAACTGTTTCTGCTGAACTTTTTATTCTGCAAGCATTTATCTCTTCTGGACTGCAGCCAAATGGGAAACATTGATTTATTCGCTCTCAGCACAGAGAGCTGAGTGGACAAAACGAGGAGAGAGCAGAGCAGAGGAGAGACTCTGATTATTGAAGAACTGAAGGTGAAGAATAGGAGAAAGAGAGAAATATGCTTGAAAGTGTGTGTGTGAGTGTTTTGCATGTACTGTATGTAATGGTCCAGGCCTGTGATGAAAAGGATGATGCAGGTTGAACTGGGTTGTATAAGCACCATTAAAAATGTATTATTTGTTCATTTGTTCACTCTTTATCCTTTTGAGTGCCCTTATTTACCATATGATTCATGTTTGATTATTCAGGATAGGGCTTTGGCTTATGAAGACCTTGGACTCTTTTATTTTCTACCTTCTAATTCCATTCTTGCAGCTAAATATCATTTATGAATGAGGAAATGAGACAGAAACTTATGTACTGTAGTATATGGGCAGATATATCAGCATGCATTGAATGTGATTTCAATTCATATCCAGACTTTATCAGTTTGAATATTACTGTGCTAATTTGACTCAATGACAAGAATGTTAATCAAAATAATGATTGCATTACCATAAAGCTTTCAGTATTGTTCATTTGAATAATATTTATCAGTAATGTTTGACACTGTGTTCATCATCACTGCACTGGAGTATCAAACACAACAGTTTGACAAATCCAGTCTAGTCAGAGCTAATTCAAAAGCACCAGATTATATTTCAGTACATTTGTGAAAGAAAATGCCATGTTCTGCTCATGCAGCTGATTATGGGGCAGACTGAAGGCAGGGGCAGATTAGTATAAGGTCATGATGCTAATGAAATCCCATCATTCAGAGTGTTTCATTTGAGGACTGTGCTGACAAAATGACCATCTCAAATCAGCAACTTTTACCCTGAGGGAGGAGCTGGCCACATTCAGTCTGCCTCACAAATTACCAGAACATTTGCATGAAATGATTCTTTATGCAGTCAAAAGCCAAGTTCATTAACCCTGCAGAAAGATCTTTATGAATATGCAAATTCTAAAAGCCATATTTATGTGAACACAGAGTTAAAAAGAAAAATATCATGACCCAAAAAATTTTTTTTTCAGGTCAATGCTTTTATTAAAAAAAACTTTAACCAAAAGTTTCTCTGTCTTTTTTTGCAGGAAGTGGCATCATCAGCTGGAGAGCTACTATTGTCACTCAGTTATCTGCCAGCAGCCAATAGACTTGGGGTGGTGGTAATGAAGGCTAGAGGACTTCAGTCAGACAAACTGAAAGACAACATAGGTATTTACCACCAACATATGACCATATCAACACTTAAATTAATGTGTGAACATTAAAAATAATCCAAAGTCAACTATTACATTATCATCTGTATTATCTGTATTCTAAGACGGAAGCGAACTAGAGATTCAGCAGCTCAATGCAATGCATTTAGCAATTAAATTAAATTAAATACACTACCAGTCAAAAGTTTGGAATAAAGTTTTTTTTTTTTTTTTAAGAAGTCTCTTATGCTCACCCA